TCAAATAACCGGTCATTTTAAGGTCATTCTAGGTCATTAGTCATTTGAGCAAATGACCCGGTCATTTACCATCCCTGGTTCATATGGTAGTTGTAGTCATCGATTATCTTGGGGATCTTGAATATTTTTTTGATTCAAATCTAAAACTGCACAAACTTTGGTTGCATTGGTACTGGTTTTATGGTGCTTCTATCTCTCTCTTTCTAATTCTATTCTTTACCAACAAGGTCATAAATTATAAACAACATTATTATTAGACTATTGTCTTGCCAAAACACAGCCAAAACCTCATTTGTAATAACACCAGAATGTACATCCCAACTGAATTGAGTATTCTTATCAATCATAAGTTTTTTTCGAGAACCTGGAAGCTGTTTTATGAACAGTGCCACAGGCATTAATGCTGATTTGCCAAAGATTTTGAAAAAGAGAAACATTAGTAAAGTAGTTATCTATGTAAATATTAAATAACAAACAGTGATATAGAAGCTGTGAAATGAGATGATGAACAAGACTTCCAACTTGATTAAGGCCATTTAATTTCACAATATCACTTGAAGAAACATGCAATGTCATCAAAAAAGTGTATGTATATTCAGATTTACAAAGTGACAAAACCTTATACCTCTCTGGGGTTGAATTGTTCTTAATTCTGTTACAAAGTAGATTTTAGTATAAATTTTACTTAGTTATTTTTAATTATAAATATTTGATATTTGTATTTTTATATATAGTTAAGGATAAATATATTTGTCACTGCTAGTTATATTTTTAAATGTAATGGATCACATGAAACTAATATGGTAAGTAACAGTGCCTATGTAATATGTGTAACTCATGTAACCTGTGTAATGCATATAACCCAGAAATTCGATGTATACTGTAATCCCAATATTCTGCGCACATTGTAACCCCTATACTCAGCACTTGTGTAATATGTGTAACCTGTGTAATCCAGAAATTCGGTATATACTATAATTCCAATATTCTGTGCATATTGTAACCTCTAGATTTGTAACTCTGATATGCTTTGTAATCAATAATTATGATAACATTTATTATGCAGCAAAACAATAGACTTCTTTTCTTAATTGTACTCAATAATTAAAAGATCCTGGCCACAATTTGAATAGGTTTATTACACTAGTGTTTTGATTATAAGTTAACTACAAAAGAAACAAATAAAAAAGCATAAGAAGTATAACAAGTAACAAAGCTAATAATGAGGTAGCTTTTATAAAAACATCGATAATAACAAAGGTTTTGGCGACATTTACATTTAGAATATGGAGGATGAAGATACTGAAGCCAAAAGTGTTAAATTTGAGATTTTGAAATGGAAAGTATTGAACTTGAAAGTGCTGAAATCGAAAGTGTTGAAAATGAAGGCATTGAAAACAAAAGCATTGAAAACAAAGGCATTGAAAATGAAGGCATTGAAAATAAAGGCATTAAAAACAAAGGTGTTGAAATCGAAGATGTTGAAATTGAAGAAATGGAAACTGAGCCACTGAAGAAGTTAATGATTTTTTTAATAGCAAGCATAATTATACCTGTAGTTATGTTATTAATGAGAGTTGGTGTATATTTAATAAAGAAGTGATAAATTAGATGTAAAAAACAGTAACAAAAAAAATCAGGTTGAATTTGTTTTTTATGAATTTAACTGGAGACTAATCATAATATCTGGATATTAATTTATAAGTTTTAACAATAAATTTAATAACAGTTCATTCAAGAGAAATTGAAATACCGCATTGTGATCTTTCATTATTAAGTTTTGGTTATATATTTCAGAATTAAGACAATGTTAATTCTTTTATTGAAGCTTATAGTCAACAATTTGGATTTGCTATCATTAAAAAAAGGGTTGAATACCATAAAAATGGTACAATAAATCATCAATCATATAGGTGTAAATTCGGTGGAGTATACAAATCAAAAAAAAATGAGGATATTAATATTCACTATGAATGATGATCCAAGTGCCAGGGATGTAGGTGGCATATAAATTTAAGTTTCCCAATAGATGCTACTTGTATTATAGTTATAATATTCACCAATGAACACAATTATAAACTTAATCCAAAGATTGGTGAATATAGTCCTAAATTTAGATTAATTGGAAAGGATGCAATGAATAAAATTGAATTTTATACCAAAAATAAAAATCTTTCGATTACCATACAGCATCAATTGTTAAAAGTCAGGTATCCAAATATAACATTTTTGGATAAAGATCTTGCAAATGCTATTCAACATTTTAAGAGTAAATATTGAAACCTTGAACAATCAGATGCTTCACAACTTTTTTTATTTCTTACCAAAAAATTGTTTGAAGAATCAGAATGGATTGTTGAGTTTGAGTTAGATACCAACAATCGTCTAATTCAGCTTTTCTGAATGACACCTGAACAAGTATCATTGTGGCTCAAGTACCATGATATCGTTCTCAATGATAATACAGCCATGACAAATCAGTATCAGATGCCTCTTAGTTTGTTTCTTATTGTTGACAATAATATCAGATCATGTTTAGTAGTGCAAGTACTGATATCTGACAAGACAGTTGACTCTTATCAATGGATTCTTCAATATACTAAAAGGGTTACAAGTGTTGAACTATTAGTTTTTATCACAGATGCTGATCTAGCAATGGATAGTACCCTTAAACAAGTATATTTAACAACTAAGTCATTATACTGTATCTATCATATAAATCAAAATCTTTTGAAGAATCTCAAATCTACATTAGACAACATGTATGATCCATTTATTAAAGAATTTTTTAATTGCTGTAATACTCTTGATGAGGCACTGTTTGAAAAAAGATAGCAAAATTTATTACAAAAGTATTCTTCTGCCGTAAGCTGAACCAAATTCTTTATCCTAGCTGTCATGCGTGGGTATGTGCTTTCACATCTAAAGTATTTAACGCCGGCATTCAAACAACATCACGTATAGATAGAAGTTTGATCTGATGAATAGCATATTTGAATATTCATTGAATATTCGAATATTCAAATAATAATGTTTTCACCAAATTGAATATTCGAATATTTAATTTTTTCACCAAATATTCAATGAATATTCGATAAATATATATATTTAAATCTAAGCCACAAAAAATATTTACTGAATATTCAGTGAATGTTTTTTGTAGCTTAGCTAATATTAAAGCTACTTCTATCTAAAACATTTTTTGTACTAAGTTAATCACTTTTGAGCCTCTAATTGAAGTTGTAGAGCTCATCAAGATGAATTTAATGGTAGTTAAATCATTAAAATCAGTCTTGTAGATCACGAGATAAATTCAAAAAATGTTTCACTGACTATATAAACTTCTCTTTTAACAATACTATTGTTAAAAGAGAAGTTTACATAGTCAGCAAAATGTTTTTCGAAAATATCTTATGATACACAAGACCGATTTTAATGATTCAACTACTGTTAGATTCATATTGACAAGTCTACAACTTCAATTAGAGGCCCAAAGGTGATTAATTTAGTACAAAAAAAGTTTTAGATAGAAACAGCTCACATTCAAAAAAACTCTAATTTCTATATATGAGCTCTCTGGTTAAGTGGCAAATCACTAATTAATATAAAAAACTTATCTTGTTTTATAGATTAACAATATATAAAGTGTAGAATAAAAAAATAAAATTCAATAAAAAATCTTATTTTTAATATAAAGTTAGGATTATTATAATATAATATTCATTGAATATTCAGTGAATATTCAAATATTCATTTAAAATTTTCAATGAATATTTGAATATTAAAAAGATTGAACAAATGAATATCCGAATACAAATTTTTTGTCCAAATCAGACCTCTACATATAGAAGAATACAATCATATTATTAAACAAGCACTACATAGTAATACTAGCTTATGTGACTTGGTTAAGATCTTAGACTCTCAACTTGAGAAAGAGGCTGAATAGAATCATTTTTTTGAATATCAGCCACTATCAAATTGTACTGGAATCACTTCTGTTGGAAGTAATATTCCCTACTATTGATCAAAAATATCAAAGTATTTAACTCTATATATTCTTTTGGTAGAACACATAAAAATGGTACAATGTCATATTATAATGCCATATTAGTTGATTTTGAAACAATCGGTTTATATGATAAGGTTTTTTTTACTTTTTATTTTTTTTCACTTGTTTTTTTAATTACATCAGTAGTTCAAAATTTTAAAATTATGTTCGATTTTGTGATTAGTGATATTGGATCAATTAATATCTGAATAATGTTAATATGGGGGGGAGTCAGTAGAAATGAGACAAATCATTTTTAGTGAATTTTTTTTTAATTTTTAAATTACAATTTCTTGACAACTACTTAACTAATTTTGATAA